GCCTCCTCCCTCCTCCTTGGGCACCGTCCTTATTGAAACTCGCCTACATATCATTTATCTCCTCTGCCCCCGCCACCCTCTGCTGGTTTTCTCAATGTGATTGTGGGGCTGTATGGGCGCCTTTTCCCCGCTCACCCAGCTGGGTTTGTTGACTCTTATCAACTTTCCTCTTTTCCCTCATCCCACTCTCAGTCCCTCCCCTTCACCTCTCAGCGCTACGCTCCGCTTTCCCTGAACAGTAAAGCTGCCACAGCTGTGGACTGTATTAGCATAGCAGCTATGGAGAGAATGGGGAGGGGGCTAAATATATTGCAGCCATTAGCTTTTGTTCGGCTGTTGACAGTTTTAAAACATTTCAGCTTCCCCTCTGTGTGGAGAGTCTCAGAAGAAAAGGATGTGGGGATGATTTCAGTGTAACAGCTTTTTAAATACGACACCAGGAAGAGGAAGAATGGCAGCTGAAAAATAAATGACTGGAAGCATTTTGTATCTAATAAGACTGTTAGATTATTGAAGTTAGTCCAAAAAAAAACTTTTTAATTCCAGATTGTTTGGAAAATAAAATGTCAAGTGTAATCTTTGAGCTTTGTTTTGCCTTCTGGATCAGAAATTTTGTGTTTTAACTGCATTTCTTTCCAGGACAAAAACACTGAAATAAATTGTCCTGTTATTTTGTTGATGTGCCCTATAGTACTTACTATAGAAAGTACTACTGACCTGGTGCTTATGTGTTAAGCTGCAGCAGAGCTATTGTTGCTATAAATTTGTACTTTTTTTTTTCTTGGAGGGGACTTTTTTGAGGTTTTTCTCATAGAAAACACATTTTCTTTTTGTGTTGCTCTGTCTCAAATCAAATTTATTTATGTAGCACATTTGAGAGCAGCTGTGGTTGGACAAAGTTCTTCACCCAAAAACAACAAATAATGATAATAATTTTAACATAAAACTAAATGCAAACCCAGAATGACAGAAGAACAAACGTAAGAAGCTCAACAAATTATTCTCTCTGAAGAACGACTCGCTTTGATTAAATGTGATTTTTATTATTTTTTTTTTCCTTTCATCTGTCCTATGTCCAGCCAACTCTTTTGTGTGAAGTTGTTTTTCTCTTCTGGAGAAACCAACCAAGAGAACTTTTGGTGCTTTCATTAAGTGACACTCGTTTTCTCTTGTTTCCTAAAAAAAGCACTACTAGCGCAGTGCTAATTTGTTCAGCTGTGTCTCGTTCCTGAATAAACTGTAAACTGAGATTTAATTGCAACTGGATTGAGTTCAGATTAATTGGGAATTGGATTTCTTACAAGTGAAAGTAGATAGAGGTAACATTTATTGTGAACCTGTGATGTATAAAAGAACTGAATGGAAACTAGAACTTTCTGTTGTTGTTACGTTTTACCAGGTGTTGGGATGAACAGGTCCAGATCCAGCAGGGATAGAAAAGTTCCCCAGCCTCCAGGCACCAGGTTAACCCGCAGCTCCAGCTCCCAGACCAGGCATCCAGAACCTGCAGAACCCCAGGAGTCGTGGCAGGGTCCGTATGAAAAGCAACGAAGGAAGCAGCCTGACTCGGCTCTCGCTCAAGACCTCAGCCTGATGAGTGTGAGCCGATTGGACTCCACAAGGTGAAAACATGCTACTGCAGCCACACGTTTCAAAGTAGAACATATGGAGCAGGAGTAATACTGGATTTATTCCCCTTAATTTTTGTTGTGGTACTAAAATAAGAATAAGGCCTGTCAGTGTTTTTGTAAACTACTCTAGGACTTTTCGTTTTTCCTGCAGTAAAGGAACGATGTCCGCAGCTGGCAGTATTCCCATGCAGAGCTGTCCGTCCTCTGAGTCCACATCCGATCAGATCGTTCCGTCTTCATTCCCGGTGAAGTCCTCTTCCCGGAGCGGCCTGTTGTCGGTGGCTCGACTTGTGAAACTGGGCCGCTGTAAGAACATACTGGTGGTGGTAGGAGCAGGAATCAGCACATCCAGCGGCATCCCAGACTTCCGGTCTGTATCTGTCCTTTATTTTCTGTTTTTGATTTATGACTTCACACCTAGTCAGTGTGGTCTCAGCTGTGGAGTTATTTTTAAATCTTGTATTTTATTCTTACTTTGATTGTTTTGGATTTTTTTCATGACATGTCTTGACGAGTGCTGTATGTTGCTTCCAGGACTCCAGGAACAGGTCTCTACGCCAACCTGGAGAAGTACAACATCCCGTACCCTGAGGCCATTTTCAACATCGACTACTTCTCCAACAACCCGCAGCCTTTCTTCTCCTTGGCCAAGTCTCTGTATCCTGGCTGCCACCGTCCCAACTACATCCACTACTTCATCCGCATGCTCCACCACAAAGGCCTGCTGCTCCGGCTGTACACCCAGAACATCGATGGGCTGGAGAAAGGTGAGTTAGGACACAGACAAATATCTACCACAGCGTTCCGACATTGTCTCAGATTTTATTTACGCTTTTATTGTCCATCTCACCTTCCATCCTTCTTTCCATCTCTACTCTTTTTTTCTTTTCAATTTACTGTCACAATTTTCCTGTTATGCTTTTATTCTTCCTTCCTTTCTTTCTCATAGTGTCTGTGGTTTTCCCCAATTCTGTATTTCAAGTCAAAACATTTCATAACCTAAACTTTATCTAGGGCCTTATTCACGTCAGTAAAGATATTTAATAAGGTACATAAAAATGAATAATAACTTTAAGAAATACAGTTCTTTACAACTGCCAGTTATAATTGACGTACTTAGTGAATAAATTCCTATTAGGTATTCAATATTTTTATGTGTGGCTTCATTTAAATATCTTGAATTAATAAATGTACAGCATTATTTTAACAAATTTATAGTTTATTAAAAAAGTTATTAAAGATATTTTTTGTTTTAAAGCTAAAATGTTCACTATTAGTTTCACATTTTCTTAATCATTTCAAGTTTAAGTTGTAATTTGTCATGAATTAATAGAAACTGTCATTATAGACTCGGCGATATGGAGGTTCAGTCATTGGGTGGGGATAACACTGCTTTGACTTTGTAAACGTGGAAATGTATGATAGAAGTAGTTTTTTGAAACTACTGAGATTCGATTGTAAAACAATAACTCAGTAAAGCTGATTTTAAAAGGCAAAGTGTTCATTAGAATTGCTTTCTCCTGCCTCTTGACTTGATTTTCTGCCTTTGTCTCGGTAATTAAACTTCTTCTCCTCCTCAGTGTGCGGCATCCCTGAAGACAAACTCGTGGAGGCCCACGGTAGTTTTGCCACAGCGTCCTGCCACCTGTGCTACACGTCGTATCCTGCCGAAGAGGCTAAAGTATGCCGATTCCACGACCCGCCAAATGCTGTCAACTGATTTATTCAGCTTTGTGATCTTTTCTTTTGTGTGTTTTGCAGGTTGCTATAATGACTGACAACATCCCCATCTGCTCCTTCTGCGCCGCTACTGTCAAACCTGATGTTGTGTTTTTTGGAGAAGACCTCCCTCAGAAATATTTTCTCCACACAAAAGACTTCCCCAAAGCGGACCTTCTCATCATTATGGGGACTTCTTTAAAGGTGAGCTTCAACTTCTTTTTTTTTGTTGTTGTCTGTCGTAAAATCATCCCTGTAGCGTCTGATCTTTAATAGAGATTTTTGTTTTCAGATCGAGCCTTTTGCTAGCCTGGTGAATACGGTGCGCTCCACTGTGCCGCGCCTGCTCCTGAACCGGCATGCTGTGGGCCCCTTTGAGAGGGTCCCGCTGCGCAGAGGAGACCACATGGAGCTGGGGGATCTGGCAGACTCGGTCAGGAGGTTTGCAGAGATCCTCGGCTGGAGCGGTGAAATCGAAGAAATGATGAGGACTCAGGAAAAGTTGGTGAGTCCTACATCAGGACACGTGGGATCAGCAAAATGTTGATTTATTTCATTAACTGAATTCAAAAGTCTTTTAAATAGATTGATTACAGTCGGACAGAGATCAAGTTTTATTTTCATTAACGTAACGTTAATGGACTTTAAGTTAATGGAAATGGCCAATGAAAAACCTGGAATTCGGTTTCTAAGAAATAAGAATTGCTGAATTAAATGTCTGTTCATAGAGCTTATATGTGTGATCAATACAGCTATTTAAATACAACACTAACCACAACACTTCCTGCTTCTGTTAGCTTTGCAAACAGTGCATATTCTTTGTTATCTTCTTAAAATAATGGCCTGAAGCATCTTTTGGCGATAAAATGAGGTAATTATTACATTTTTTTTTCTGGTCAAAGTCACGTTTGACTGAAATCGACTTATCTATTAATATTATTATTTATTTATTGTTCAGCTCCGATACCCAACAATAAAGAGCAGCTAAAGACTTATATTAAAGCAACCTGCCTTTCCTCAAAGCAGCACCAGAGCCACCCAATGCAAAAATTAATGGAAAATGGCAACAATTTTTTATTAGAAACTCCTTATTGAATGGCCTTCACTGTAGCAAATAAATGTCATCCATGTGTAATTAATCTTAATTAATCTATTCAAGTTCCACTTTTTAATAAAGTTTACTGCGATAAACTTGATTATTTGAGATGAAATCCTTCCTGCAGGGCATCCATCCTGTGGTAACCACTGGATCATCATCATCATCATCAGCAGAGACTGAAGACATGAAGACATCCAGACCAGGAGCTGAAGGAAGCTGCAGCGAGGACACCGACTCAGAAACAGACAGCAAAAGCTCTGCGTCTTCAAGAGCAAGCAAATGACGCCTCAGCCTGTAATACAGAAAAAGGTTCTGGAGAAATTCATTTCAGCTGCTCTTTAAATATGCAGGTTGTTTTGCTTCACATCAGTCATAGTAAATATGGTGTTTATTTTGTTAATATGTAGATATAAGGTGGTTAATCTAGTTTCCATCTAGAACACTAGTAAATATTCCCCAAAGTGATTTCATATGGCTGAGGCTAATAAAGTTGTTTTATCTCAATCATGCAATGTTCAGTATTTAATAAATGTTTCTCTTTGCAAAGAAGACAGTGTTCTTCACTTTTATTAACTTTTCAGTGAAAAAGCATCACAAAATAAGTTGTGCTGCCCATAGTACACAAAAAAACAAATGTGCAAACTAGATATTCTTCCCACGTTCATGCAAATTTCAAAAGGATCCCAGGATTTATGTGTTGGAAAAATAACAGCATAACTTACAAGCACAAAGGAAAGTCTGAACAGTTTAAATATAAAAACATAACTGTAAGAAAATACAACAAAAATCTGACAAGGCTTAAAAGCATTTCAGTTACAGTAAAATCTTCAGGAACTGGACTTGTTACTGTACCAACAGTTTACTATAAATTCATAATAGTCAGGCTTACACACAAAGATTTATATAAAATTCAACATTTTCCATCGGGGGCAAAAATAACATTTGATTTATCGTGTAGATTTGGCAAAAGTAAATCGATTAAAAACAATCATTGTAGTTTACATATTTCATGGTCATAAAGTCCACAAGAGATGTGTTTCAGCAACTACATGTCAGGATGCTTTTTCTTTTCCTATAAGCTTCTTAAAAAAATGATTCCAACAAGCCTGAATTTAAAACGTTTCAGTGGTCAAAACGTGCCTGTGGCCAGGCAGCGAGATTTAAAACCAAAGGAGGAGTTTAATTGTCCAGTGTTTAATTAAAAATGTACCAGAACATAAATGTGAGCAACAAACACAAACAAAAGGAATGATTTTTTTAAGACTTGAAACCTTGGCATCTGTGTTCACAATAAAAAATTAATAATAAAAACCAAATGATCCAGCAAGAAGTTAAGTTTTATAACTTAAGGATGCAACAGGTAACCAGAAAGGCCTCAAATAAACTCTGAGGAACTAAAGATTTGTCCTTCAGGACCGAGTCTTTGTACTTTCATAAACTCCCATCCGTCCATCGCTCATGTCTGCTTACGGTGAAGGCAACGGTGCATTTAACGTTTTAGTTAAATACTTCAATTATGTTTCAATTTATTGTATCTTTTCTGAAAAGTCTTGATTAAATTCCAATAGTTAAAAACCAAATTTAATTTCAGAGGACAAGAAGAATCTGAAAAATTAGCTTAGTTTGTCATCATGGCACAGAAGGTATGCAATGGAGAAGGAGGCTAAAATCTGATTTTTCTTATTATTCACATCTACGCTGCAAACTTTCAGTCCTTGTCAAGTCATTCATTTAAAAGATGTTACCACTTCAGACATCTTTCATTGAGCTTCTATCAAAGTAGACACACACACAACACTAAATGCAATGTCTCACAAAAGTATCTATACCCTGAAAGTCTATTTTCTCGTCAAATCACAACCACAAATTTATGGTTAACACAAAATGTGCATACGTGAGGTTTAGGGAAAAAAGTACTTTCTTTTATAAATGCAAATCTGATTAAAGTGGCTTTCTGCCTCCTTTATTTGGAAACCCTAAGAGTTTAATATTCTCCAATCCCCAAAGTAGTGGCGGTTTCATGCTGTGCAGATGCTATTCTTCTGCAGGGACAGAGTTGAGTCAGAGCTGACGGTAAATCCTGTTTGAAGGTGACCAGAACTTCCCCTTCAAGTTGGACATCGACTCTAAACATACGGATGACGATCGAAACTGGTAAATACACCACAAGACATGCAACTGTAATTGAAGCAAAAAGGTTTTATAAAGTATTAACCACAAAAACACTTCAGATTTTAAGTTGTAGTTTTAAATCCCATCTTCGCTTCAACTTTGCAGTTATGCTCTAATTTGTGTTGGTGTGTCACATAAAATGGATTTAAGTTCTGACAGAAACAGACTTTAAGGAGTGTGAGTACTTTTGCAAGAAATCAATAACTGTAAGAAGCAGAAACATGACGCCTGACAGACTTAAAGGCGTACTCCATGTTTTCCATCATTAACATGCCTAACTATGTGCCAGAGGTTCAGTATCTTACATTTGAGCTCATATAGTCACTGTACCAGCTTAATCCACAATGAACTACTACTTCTTCTCTTATCACACACTTTGGTGACAAGCTGGACTTTATGGGTTATCACTGGGTCCAGGATGGTTTTTACGTTATATCATGTACATGTAATGTAAAATGTGAAAGTGCAGCATGTCACAGTTCAGTTTCACTAGCTCTAGAATCGGGACCAGCAGGCGCACTAGTCAGAATCTGTGTCAGAGTTTTCTTCTGGTCGACAGATGAGCGTCTCTTCCAGAGGCGCCAACGTCCCGTCCGGCCTGACGCCCATCGGCCGGATCACGTTCTGCCTGTGGAGAGGAAGAAGCAAGGAGAATCAGAAGACTGAAAAATCTGAACCGCGCAAAACTCTGCTCAGGCTTCTTTGTGTCTCTGGACAGACTTAATGAGGGCCTTGAATTTGTTCTTATTCATACACAAACTGGAGGACCCTCATCCAAACCCCTCTCCTCACCCGTTCAATGACAATCGGCCCTGTCTGACCATCCTCTCCCTCCTCCTCCTCTCCCTTCCTGTGGCAGTTTAATTACAGGATCAGTGCTCAAACTAATCTCCTCAAAGCCAACACTGGCCCTTTATCCTAATCCAATTATACCTGCATATGTGTGTGTGTGTGTGTGTCACTGCTCCGTCCAAGATGATCCATCTGAATTATCCATCAGCAGTTTAAAAAAGGATCCCTACACATTAATGTGACAGATTTAAACACAAAAGACAGATTCCTGAAAGTAAAACTGATTTACTGGGAGGAACATGTGAGAATATGGTTTGTAAAATAAAATAAAATAAAATAAATAAAAAAAATCACCTTCAGTCTTAATAAAAACAAACATTTAACATCACTGCTCCTAATTACACCCAAAAAATATCTCCTCTCTTCTTCTCAGAAGTGATGGAGGCTCTCCATCACTTTGGGGTTGGGGTGTGTGTCCTAATTAGACGAATGGTCGCGCTGTCAGTGGGGCACATTCTTGTCGGCTGCTGAGCAATCTCCTTAGCACCTGTGCTGATGGAAGAGCACCTCTCTCTTTCCTTGGAAAGAGAAGAAAGACCATGCGGCCTCAGAGGAGGAATCTTCTCATTCTGGCTGCACGTGTCTCATTATGACTCCGCGGCCAACAATGACGAGGTCGCCTCCCTTATGTCGCCGTTTTCATTCAGCTGTGTCTCTTCTTCTTCATCCACGTTCCACCCAAATTGGTCCGTCTACTTTACGCCTGTGTGTCGGTTTGCTCCTCATCTGGAGCGACTGGCGCCTCCAACACGAGTCAGGACGCGTGGTTAAAAAAAAAAAACACAACAACAACAAAAAAACAACTTCAATGAGGAACATAAAGGAAGCTGAGCCAACAAGCCGACCGCGTTTGCCAATTAGGTGATAATTAACGTGGAGGTAATGATGCTGCAGCGACGTGCGGGCCAGCTCCTATTTTCTCCCGCTGAATGTGATGGCTGCCAGTCAGAGGCTAATTGAAGACTCGGGTGGCGCAGAAGATTCTTCCTGTGATGAACTGGTTGGCAGGGAGAAAGCTCACAGTCACCTTTTAGCAGGTAACATTAGCCTCCGCTCGCTAATGAAAAGGTCAACGCAAACGCAGCAGAAACCTGAAGCTTTTCAAACACTCCTCCAAAGCAGAATCAGTCGATCAGCCAAGAATAGGAACATCAGCCGTCCCTCCTCATGTGTCTCTCTCTCTCCTTTGTGTCAAAATTTTAGGGTTTACATGGAGGCTAAATTTCCCAATTAGAAACTTGTTTTTCATATTTACTCAAACTATAGGCCATCGAGCAAACTAGTTAAAACTTACAGCTATTTTCACCAGATGCATGTCAGCACCAATGTTTAATACAGGAGCACTTAGAAATCGAACTGCGCTGCTGTAGATTCCCAACCATCCAGCACATTACAGTCCTGCTCGACTTCTGTTGTTTCACCTCTCCTTCAAAACGCTTCACAGAGGTGAAACATTTTCAAGAAACAAGAGAAGTAGTCCAGCTGCCTTCACTTAAGCACCAAGAATCAACTGGTAAACTGAAATGGTTGATTTTATTCCAAAATCATGTGAACTACCTGAGTACTAACAGGTCCTGCCCACAAAACCACAATGAACGATGTTACAGAGCTCAGGTGTAGCCATTTATAGCATTAATCATTTACGTCAGAGGAAGCATAGGCATGAGGGAAGCTATCTGAAAGGAAGCTGTGTTTGAGAACGTTAAAGGACGTGGAAGAGAAAAAGACAGCAAGAGATTTAGCAGATAACAGGAAGGCCGAACATGGCACAGCGAAGTTGGCCTGTTTTAACATTTATCAGCTTTTGCTTTTTGTCTGCTGGTTTATTGATGAGCTAATTGCTAATTTAAGATCTTAAAACAGATTTTAAGATCTTAAATTAGCAATTTAAGATCTTAAATTGCTCTCCTCAGCATTGCTCTCCTCTGCTACAGGTTAATAACTAACTACTGTAGTTATTGCTGCTGGAAAAGTATGTTTCAATTGGAGGCTTTCCGTCTTCTCATGTTTTAGTTCTGCAAGGGAATGTGAAGGATCTGAAATCAAAATCAGCAGGTCAAATATTTGCAAAAATTATTATTATTATTAATTGACAAGCAAGTCTTAATGGTAGCACATTTATGGGAAGCTTCTTTTCATGGAAGAGGAGAGTTTTACCAAATTACATCAGCTTACTTACTGAGCTTAAGCACCGCCAGAGAAAAATATTGCCTCTAATTCTACTGACTTGTTTTCTCCACAAATACTGCAGGAGTTAAAGAGTTAAACTGTCAAACTGTTTAACTCAAACAATATTTTCTGATGTCCTGATTCTCCAGGTAAAATGTGTAAAAAGCTTTAAAGTAACATAAGTTCACAATACATTTTTTAAAATAATTCCTGGTGCTACTTTTCATCAGTACTTTGGCCTCTAGAGCTCACTAGGTCTCCATATCAACTCCACATTTTAGGGTCTTTGTACATATCTCCATCAGTCATCTGTCGCATCTTTAAAACTGAACCTTTCCTGCTTTTTGAACAAAGCTTCTGAATCCCCGTTTTGCTTCAGAGTCTCACCTTGTCAGCTTGTCAAACATGTTGGCCAGTTTCTCAGCTTCATACTGCTTCTGCTCCTCCGTCATCTCCTCGATGGGGTTCGGCATCGGCTCCTCCACGTGACCAGTAATGGGGTTAATGCTGGGAATATAAACATTAAAAAGCCCAATCTACATCTGCAAACTACTTTTTCCGCGTGAAGCAAGCCCAAACATGCCTCCCGAGAAACTCACAAAGGTTTGGCGGATTTATACTCATCCGTGTCCGAGTCTTCATCTTCAGAGTACTCCGTCTCTCCTCTCCCACCAGCCAGAAGCCCCCGAGCCACCAGGAGTCCTGCTGCGTTCCCATATCCCGTGTACTTCAAAAGATTGTCCACTGAAAGGCGACGTCGCACATATGAACTTATTAGTATTTCAAAAGCTGAAACCAGGCATAAATGTCAGTCTCACACGCCCTGCGCTCAACACGTCTCACTCGTCTTCACTCACCGCTTTCTTTGCAGAGGACAAACAGGAACTCTGCGGCCGTCTGCTTCACGCCCATGTCCACGTGCGTCATGAGGCGAACCAGCTTGTTTCTGATGGTGGTGCCCACCTCGGGCCTGTTCTTCACGTCCTTCAGGGGAGGAAGTACCTACCATGCACAACAGTTTGTATGTAATATTGCCAAGTAATTCTCAGCAGATATAAAGGTTAGCACTAGCTGTTTCTGCTTGGTTCACAGTAAGAGTGAAGCAAGGAATTAGATTGATTATGGTTAATTGATTATTGCTATAACCATCCGCTAATTTAATAATCAAAAAAATGTTAAATGGAGCATACAGACTCTTAAAAAATGACATTTTCTGAAAGAAAGTCAGCAATAATTAAGCAAAAACTGTATAAAAATACATACGTGTTGCATTTAAGACAAAAAAACCATCTTTGTTTGTAAATATATTCAACCTAAAACTTCTCCAGTGGCTTAGTTTTAGCTTCACTTCCTTTAAATTTAACAAAAAAAAACTCTATTAAGCATCTTTTTCAATCCAATTTTTAATTGGTCACTCAAAAGCATAATCATCAAATTAGCCTTAATCAGCAGAAACGGCTGAGCTTCTCACATGTTGATATCAGAAATATTTTAACTGCAGATGGTGTAAATGATGTACTATGTAAGTAATACTATGCTAATGTATTGTAGGCAATAAAATATTTTTTTATTTTAAAAAAATTACTGAAGTGTTTGTTTGCATTTTATATGTGTTTTTAATTGTATGAAATAAGTTTAAGTAATGAAAAATCTGCAAGAATAGGCCAATTTTTAAAAATCTAATTAATCAATTGTAAGAATGATCACCAGAATTTTCAACTACTAAAATAATGGTTGGCTGCAGGTTTGTTTGCAGCATTACCTGAGTTTTGATATATCTGCGGATCTCTCTGTGGCATCTGGATCCTTCAGTCAAGAGGCTGAGCACTGGAGTCAGACCCTCTTTGTAGTTGGAGCCCTTTGTGAAGCGACACGAGACGACAAATGAGTCACATCATAAACTGGAAAAAAACTGCGTCTTACTAACATGAGATACACAGTGGTAAACAAAATAATTGACATTTATTTTTGCCAACTGTTACAGAAACTAAAGCAGAGATTGTTGTAACTTTGTTAACTAAGAGATTAAATAAATGTTTCTCTACACTTGAAACTTGATTTTTCCATATAGTGGCTATTCTGCCTCACAATCTGACATTGAATCACACTTTTCTGTTTTACGCAAGAATCTGCTGAGAGCCACAATAATAAAACATTTGAAAATCTGGACCTTAATCCTAATCCCACTTTGTAACTTAAGCTTTAGCTAAAGTTACAAAAACCCAGACAGCTGTGCAGCTCAAAGAGCAACATAATGGACAAAACCACAACATATTTATGCAGCAACGTAATGCAGTTAGCTGGAAATGTCTAATGTCTTCAACAAACTGCATCTGGTTAACAAAGCAACCAGATGAGGGGATCATTACTTTGTGCAGGAATAACTTCATATCAACGGGTTTCTTTGCAGGAAGCGATGAAACGATAAAATATGTAACAGAATAAATGTTTTGTCACAGCTGGGAACAATTAAACAATTATCAATGGTATGTTAATTACACATCCAACTTACTATCTTAGATTTCTCAAATACTTCGTTAACATTGTAAAAAGTTAGCAGCGTGTTTTTCAGACATGTAAACTGTAAAAATGACCCTCACCAGAGCCCTTCCCTAATTGCTCCGAAAGACCATCTTTACCTTGTCGATTCTCCTCTCCATGAAGTCCAGCAACACCTGAACTGCTTCCATGTTTTTTCCTCTGTACTCCTCCACGCCTCCCTGGACCGGCATATCAATCAGCACATCCAGGCAGGACGCAGGCAGGTTGTTCAGCAGGTTGACGGTGTGGCTGAAGTAGGAGCACAGCAGCAGTTTTACAGCAAGATCATAAAAGTAAAATCAGATGCTTAAGACAATTATTATGTAAACAATACATTTTTTTATAAGATGTCAGTTTGGGTTGGGCACATTCTGTTCTTAGCAGCCGTTTGGCCCATTTCACAGCTTCCCACCTGTGCACTTCTTCTGTTTTCTCCTCTGTCTCTGTTTTCAGCATCAACAGATGACGCAGGATAGCAACTAGGAGTCGGAACTGGTGATTGTCCTCCTGTAAAAACGCAAAAAAATTATTGAACAATTAAGAAGCAGATTATAATAGAAAGAAGAATCTAAAAAGATTCTTGGAAAGTGAAACAAGATGCAACAAGAAAAGATGACAAAAACTTTTACGGCATATAATCTACCTTAAATCAAAGGCTAATTCTTTCCCAGTTATTTCTAAAGCTAAAATTGGCTTCATTAAAAATGTTCTTGCCAAACACAGCAAAAATGAGAAATTGAAAAACAGGTCTATAGCTGTTGTAGCGATTTGAACAGAAACCCAGATGTTGACCCCTGTACCGTAACAGCAAATCAAAGTCCGAACATCCTCACCTCGTTCCGACTTTCTGAGAGTGTGAGGTTGAACAAGGCTTTAAGGGCTTCCATGGCTCGCTCATTGTTCTCTGTGGGCAGGGGCAGAGCCTGCGGTTCTGGTCGAGCCGCCTCATATGTCCCTACCCAGTGAACGTCCAGAGTGTGCTCCAGAACCTCCGTCAGCAGTCTCACAGCGTGACAGTCTTTCCTGAGCATTCCCCTCACATCTGGGCGCAGGGCGGACAGCAGGAAGAACAGGCGCAGGACGAACAGGCCCACCTCGTGTTGCCACGTACGGGCGAAGCACAGGCTGGCACAAAGGCTGTGAACCAGCTGGATGTCCACACACACCTGCTGAGCTGCAGCGCTGTTGTACACAACGTTGCAAAGGCACTTCAAGGCCTCCACAACCACCCTCTTCTCCTCCTCAGACTGTAAAGCATCCTGAGTGGTTTCCTGTTTATCCTCGCCTTCCTGTCCGGTGCGCAGCATTGCCAACCCAGTCAGAACCAGCATGCCCTCTTTGGTGGCTACGGGCCCCAACACACGCTTGTCTCTGGACAGGATGCGGAGTGTTTCCAGACACGTCTTCTGACAGCTGGGCCGCACCTGTCCCCCAAGAACCGTCAGCATACTCTGACAGAGTTTCTGAATCACAGGACAGATAGGGAGGAAGAATGTCATCATCGCTGTACAAGACTATCGAGTGACAACAAGCTCCGCTGAGATATACTCACACTCCGCAGGGTTTCTTCTTTTTGGTTAAACATGAAGGTCTGAGTGTTCTGAAATTAAAAAGGTTTTATTTCAATGACTGTGCAATATGTCATCACTGCTTCTTAATTTCCCCTTTACTGTCAATCCAAAACGCTGCAGCCAGAGTCCAGACCACAACCAGGGTGATGAATCACATCACTGCTCTGGCTGCCTGATTGTACACAAATAGTATTAATTGAAGCCTTCTCGGTCTTGGGTCTAAACACATTTCTGAGCTGTTGTTCAGATACGTGTTGTCAATGGTAGCACCAAAATGAAGAAGGAGTCAGACTTTGATCTCTATCTTTGGATCAAACTCCCTGAAAACCTGAGTTAAGCAGAAACTGTTGTCTCCTTTAAATAAAGACTGAACTCTGTAATAATGATACAGCTTTCTCACCGAGCTGACAACATAAGTTTATTTCTAACGCCTTCACTATTTGTTAGCTCTTTTAGTTTATTAGTTAGCTATTTAGCACTCTCTTGCATGTCGTTTCAGTTTTTCCTGTTGTTGTTTTGACCTGTTCCGTGTTTTTGGGCTGATTCATTCGTCTCCGTCGCCTTGTTACTGATGAGCTGTATTGAACAGCTCTGCTGTCAGAGATTTGCATCAGGAACATAAAGTCGCGCATCTTGTCGGCCGGCAACATATCGACTAGAACTTGGTTGTTGTTGTTTTGTTTCTTTTAAGCATTTTTTTTCTGCTCATTTTGTTCGTTCTCGGACACGACGCGGTTTGACTAAAGATTAAAAGTCATTTGACACACCTCAGCTCAGCTCGCAACTCAAGATGCGAAGCTAACTCAAAGCTAGTTAGCTAGCTAACTAGCTTTAGCTGCTAGTTCAGGTTGGTTGAGTCACATCTGACCGAGCCGCTGGCTCACCTCTTCATTGTACCGATGTAAAAGCGCCTCTGTGTCCTCTTCGTTAGCATTTTCAAGCTGGGACAGGACGTTGTTAAGATCCATGGTGTGGAGACTATCTGAAACACGGACAGCTAGCTCGGTTGGGACGTTGCCAGTGCTAGCTGCCAGGCTAAGGTGGTGTCACTGAGAGCAGGGCGACTCCCCTGACCGCCTCCACCTGCAGCATCCGTCACTCTGCTGCCACAAACTACACGATGCTAAACAGTTTGATAACTGTGTTCAAATTAATTTATTGCAAATATAAAACACATTTGTATTTTTTAAAATTAGATTTATAGATATCTTACATTTTCATTGCTTGGAGTTTAGATGTAATGTGGATTCTCAGGATTCAATTTTGTTTCTCCCAGAGTGAAATTAAATGTTGTAGCTCATATATCTCAAGTAACTTCACACTTGTGGATGTTGATGCATTGGGCAGGAAGTATCTCCTATACCAGTCAGTATAGACCTTTTTCACGCTTCCAGGTTTGAAAGCGGATGTGGGGTTGGACAACTTCTGGTGGCTATAGCGTTAGCATTAAAATTATAGGAAAATGTCTCAGTCTCGGCGCAGTTGTTTTTGTTCAGTCCCTGGTTGTTCATGTGGGACAAGAAAACAGCCTTATCTGTCATATCATGCGTTCCCGACGGACCCGGACCAACGGAGGCAGTGGATCCAGGCGATCCGAAGAGATGAAGGTCCGGACTTTTGCATAAAGACTGGAGCACTTTCGTATGTAGCCACCAATTCACACCGGAGGATTTTGTTAGCGGATCCACCACCAGCCGCCTTAAAAGTGTAGCTGTTCCTTCCCTGTTTGTCTGGAATAACTTCACTGCACCGGCAATGAGAGAGTCTGCTTCGCCTATTGCGGACCATGACTACACGACACATCCACCCACAGGGACCTGGGCGCTTGTGCGCATGCGCGAGGACCGGGCGGTTGTGCGCATGCGCGTTGTCGGGGCGCTTGTGCGCATGCCCGGGGCCTGGGCGGTTTGTGCGCATGCGCGGGGTCGGGGCACTTGTGCGCATGCGCGGGGTCGGGGCGGTTGTGCGCATGCGCGGGGCCTAGGCGGTTTGTGCGCATGCGTTTTATAAAGCGGATGTGGGGTTTATACAACTTCCGGTGGCTATAGCGTTAGCATTAAAAGGCTAGGATAATGGTTCAGTCTCGGCGCAGTTGTTTTTGTTCAGTCCCTGGTTGTTCATGTGGGTCAAGAAAACAGCTTTATCTGTCATATCATGCGTTCCCGACGGACCCGGACCAACGGAGGCAGTGGATCCAGGCGATCCGAAGAGATGAAGGTCCGGGCTTTTGCAAAAAGACTGGAGCACTTTCGTATGTAGCCGCCACTTCACACCGGAGGATTTTGTTAGCGGATCCACCACCAGCCGCCTTAAAAGTGGAGCTGTTCCTTCCCTGTTTTCCTGGAATAACTTCACTGCACCGGCAATGAGAGTCTGCTTTCGAGAGGGCGAAGAAACGGCAGTTTGTCCTCTCTCAGAAAGCTAGCCAGGCTGAAGACGATACTGCGGACCATGACTACTTTTAAGAAGTGATTGTTTATGAAAGCTACATTTTATACTGTATTTCAGTTGTTTTCACTGCATTATAGTTTATTGTGTTTATTATTATCATGTTTATTCTTCATTCTTTCCTCCGGGTGGATGATGTCATCAGCTTCATCCTGCACTGGAAGTATCTGGAGCCACCTTGAGAATCAAGTTTATTTTTATGTCACATCCAGGTGACAGCATGGTTCTCTCAGCTGCCAGACGAGGCGGCGTAGAGATCTCAGTAGATGACGGATATTGCTGTTGACATTAAGGTCAGGCGATTATATTACAATGAAGGGCCGACGTCTTTATTTTCTTTTTTGCAGCAAACAAGTTAGCTGTGTTCAATGTCTCGGCAGTGAGTCCTGCAGGATTTTAGAGATGTAGCACAGAGGATTCACTCTGATATATAAAGAAACGCAGTCAGGGGTAAGAGGTTAAAGGTTGTGGGACTAAGATGCAATGACCTCAGCACAGCAGGACACTCTCTCAGTTGAAATGAACTTTATTCATCAGTGTGGCTCTTCTTGTTCAAACCTAACCCCCATTTGAAAGGTTCCCTCTGAGTTTATGAAGATGGAAAAAATGGATTTGCTAAAATGATTCCAGAAAAAAATATCTACTTATTGATTGGAGTCAGGTTAAAATGATTCCATTTTGAAAAAAATGTTGACAATATTGTTTTTATGGTTTTCTTAAGTGCTTAAAAGCTGTTTTAACAAGTATCAGACCATTATAAACAAACAAAAACAAGCATTAATAAAACTGGAATGAAATTAATTTAAATCCATTTTGCATCACATGGATTAATAAAAGAAGTTATAGCAAAAATGTGAACAAAACGGCCCACTGTGAAAATTACAGATTATAAACTATAAGACCAATCGGTCTTATAGTTTATAATCTGTAATTTTCAGAGTTCTTAGGTCTGAAAACAGTTTTCAGTATTTGATGTATCAAGGATACAAGGTTCAGATTGGAGCCTAGCTTCTTCGTTTCTTTAATAACAGGATTTGCAAAGTATCTAGTAACTGCAAAGTCTTTTGTTTGCAGACTACACCAATAGTTTGTTTCTTGCAGCGGCTTAAAAAAGAATGAACAATGGCTGGTAAAACTGTTCAGTTCAAGAAGTGATAAGCATTTATGATATCTGGTGATGAGTATTTCCTCCTACTCTTCTTGCACAATTGTTTCATATTTAATCACAGCAGAAGGTTTTCCAGAATGGCCGGCCGGTTTCTGGTGATGTCGCAGGATCTAAATCAGATTTAAAGTTTTTTGGTGCTTTGGGTGGTTGTCCCGCTACATAACTACTGAGCATAAGGTCAGAAACTTATTCAAGATTTACTAGTTAAAAGCGTAAATCATGGTTCTATCATGATGTTGGAATACTGTCTGGGATACTGAAGCAACAAATCAGTCCCAGAAAATCACGCCAGCACAACTGTGTTTAAATGATGATGTGATGACACTTTTCTGAAATCATGTTAGTTTCACATTAGGTGTAATAAGATGCCCAGCTTACAAAAAAAATCCACTGTTTACTCATTGGTCCACATAATACTTTGCCAGAAGTGCTGAGGCTAATCAGGATGTTTTTTTGGAAGACATTCGCCAGGATTTTGTATGATCACTGTAACACGGATGCAGTTTCTGCCCAGTTTCTTCTTTCTTAGTGTTTAGTCATTAAACGATGCTCAAACTGAGAAGAGTGAAGCCAGTTTTGCTTCACATATTGTTTTGGGTTCTTTTGTGACCTTCTTGGTTTAGTTGCCAAAGGATTCTGAGTGATTTTGGTTAGCTGGTGACTGTCCCACATTTTCTTTATGTGACTTCATGTTGTCGAACAGGTTTCGTTTTTAAGTTCTTTCTTACCTCTACAACTCTGACAACAATCAGGCTTTAGGTGTGGCGACAAAAAAAAAAAAAGAAAAGAAACAATTTTGCAGTCAGTCAGTTTTTCCTGGATTTAAAAAGGGCACCATTTTGGTTTGGATTTGGCCTTTTCCTTTAATAAATGTGATTATTTACTTTGGCTACACTGGTCCGATCCTAAACTTGAACTTGTTGGTATTGTTTACGTGTGACCAAAGCCAGAACAGAACTATGTGAAGGCCAAATACGCTATTACGTTATGTATGTTTGAACAAAAAGTGGCTATGGATTGTGTTTTCTCAACATAAAACTCATGAAAACAGTAGAAAAAAAAAAGACTCACTGTTTTGAATTGTTGAATTATTTATGAGGGCGGAATATTTCCAACATAATTTAACTGTCACCACAAATGCTCTCCAGTGCTTTTTATTTACAGAAAAGTGACTTCATGTTACTGTACACTTTGATATTTCCCTTTTTAATAAATACCCATAGGGTAATAGGTCCTCCGTAGCTTTGAGTGCATTATAAAACACACAACCCTAAGTTAATGCATCCTTTACTAACCATACAAAACAGACAACATAGAAAATATAGCATTACACCATGTTACAAAGTTACAGAAAATACTTATATATATATATCTATCTTTATAGATATATAGTCACAGAAAAACAGCAGAAAAGCTTGTGACAGGATACATTTGTTGTGTTTAAGTTAACTATCTGAGATGGAAACACGTGATGGTTGTCAGCTCAGAGTCACAGACCTGGAGTCCCAGGAGATGGTTAAGGCGGTGCAGCTCGTCGCGATGAGATGCTGCAACAGTGCTGAGCAACGCCCGCAGGAAAACCTGCAGCTGCACCGGTATCCAAACACAGCACTGAGAGCAGCAAGGCCAACTCCGGCTGAGGTGTACATTCCTTGAAACAAAGGCACAGCTTGGCAGCAGCATTGCACTCTTTATATGATTTTGCTGCAGGTTCAGACAATCAATATGATTTGTTTTCCTCCATCAAGTGTTTGATGGAGGAAATGATTAATTGGAGATCTGGTCGGGTGACACCACAATCATCAGGGCGACTGATGTGACGCGCCTCTTCAAACTTGTCAGTCCGGCCTCGATTTCTTTCGCCTTCCTCTTTGTCTTTGAGAGAGTTCAGAGACTGCAGCTGCCGGTTTACCAGGTAAGGAGTTAGCAAACCCTATTTGGCCCAGCCTGTAGTGGCCTCTCCGTTGATGTAGGCAAAGCCTGGAAAATGCTGCGAGTGTTCGTACTCCGAGTTTCTGCGAGGGCCGAGAGGAGAGTACATGTCCCCAGAGGTGGCATAGCGAGAGGAATGCATAGGCGGGCTGGAGTAACAGCTGTTAGCAGGAGACACATCTGGCCAGCGGGGGGCGATGGGCGCAGGGTGCAACCGAGGAGTGCTGCCCATCAGGCACGGCTCCATGCGGGGCATCTGGCTGTTGAGCTGGTACTGAGGAGGAGAAAGACAATAAGGTTGATCAAGAATTATTCTAGAAGCAATTAAATAAGGTTTAGAGCTGATTTTTGACATAAAAGTAAATAAAAAGGGAAATAAATTCAAATTTAAAGACTGAATTTTTGTTCACTTTTGTTGTCCTTGACTAATATTTAAATTGGTTTGATGTCCTGAAACAGTTAAGTGTGGAAAACATGCAAATAAACTGGAAATCGGGAAGGGGCAAACACTTTGTCACGCCCCAGCATTAACAAAACTAATCATCAGAATAAAATAAATCAACAGACCAAATATAGATCCAAATATAAATCTGAATCTATAAAAATAGAAGAAATATTCTGAATTTATTAAAAAACAAACCCAAAAACTAAATCGTTATGCTGAATTCTTCTACCTGTTAGATTGATAATAAGCTTTTTTCTTCCACATCAACAAAACACCAATTTAAAACCTTGAAGGAAGCTTGAAAAGCCTCCATCAGTAAACTCCCTCCTTTCTGAGACGGTACCTCGCTGTCATCTCATATGT